AGGTTGGTAGAGCAGCTCTGGCCACACTGCAGCTGCACCAAAACCAAGTGGTGTTCTGAATTCTGAACAAAACAGGCTATTCATGGTGATTTTTTTCTTCCTTTGCAGAAAACTTCCGTGCCCTGAGTACTGGTGAGAAGGGATTTGGCTACAAGGGGTCCTGCTTCCACAGGATCATTCCTGGGTTCATGTGCCAGGTGCGTGGCATTCCCACCGCAGTGGGGAGGTGGGTGGGTGGGCGAGGTGGTTATGTCACTCATGTGGGTCTTAGAGTTGGATTCTGGAAGATTTGGGGTGGGAGGGCAGCTCTGCCTCCTGCCTGCAGCGTGCGGAGGGGCCACTGCTCCCGATTCCAGGGTGCTCTCCTGCATCTGTGACCTGAAATGCCAGTCTCTTCACAGGGTGGCGACTTCACACGCCACAATGGCACCGGAGGCAAATCCATCTACGGGGAGAAGTTCCCTGATGAGAACTTCATCCTGAAGCACACAGGCCCTGGCATCCTGTCAATGGCCAACGCTGGCCCCAACACAAACGGTTCCCAGTTTTTCATCTGCACTGCCAAGACTGAGTGGTGAGTCGGGGACTGTGGGAGGAAAGGCTTGGGAGTCCCCAGCAGGGAAGTGTCCTGTGGGGACATCGGGGACCAGCTGTGACTTGTGTTTTTCCGCAGGTTGGATGGAAAGCACGTTGTCTTCGGCCGTGTCAAGGAGGGGATGAATGTGGTGGAGGCCATGGAGCGCTGTGGCTCCAAGGATGGCAAAACGAGCAAGAAGATCACCATCACCGACTGTGGGCAGCTCTCGTAGACCCTCTTCTCACCAACTGACCATTCCTCGGGCAGCCTGGGCGCTGTGCCCTGCTGCAGCTCACCCGCTCCTGCCCCATTCCCGACGTACTGCTGCGTTTCTACTGGGTCTTGGCCCCACGTACACGGTCCCACTGGGCCGCAGTTACCTTTGAGTCTAAATAAAACGAGTTAACCCACAGCAGCCCCCTTCCGTCCCCCAGCTGGAGCAGGCAGGGGGTGGGGCTGGTGGGAAAGGAAGGAGGGGGTACCAGCTGGTCCTGGCACTGAGCTGATCTGTGGGGGTCCTCAGTGCTGCATCTAGGAAAGGGCCCCCCTTCCCTTCTCTACCCACTGCTGTGGGACTGCAATAAGTATGGGGACAGGTGGTGACCCCCACCTTTGGGTTCCTTGTGGGTCTCTGTCAGCCGGTGACCTTGGGCACAGCTGGTGTTTGCTATGCTGTGAAGATGGGACTCCCAATGGCTCCAGTAAGAAGAGTTTCAGGCTGGGAGGATCCCAGTGCTCCCTACTACAGCAACCCAGTTAGGGGGTGGCTCTCTGAGATCCCCAGTGGTCCCTGTTGGGGGGGTCGTAGTGATCCCAGTTGGGGGGTGCCCAGCTCTGATAAGATCCCATGTTTGGCATAGTCTCAGTTTGCAGTGGGGTGATAAGTGCTCCTGATTCATGCGTGGGTGCCCAGCTCCTGAGTGATCCTGGAGCTTCCAGTTTAAAGGATGCGTGGATGGGAGTAGACTAGTATCCTGTGGGCCCAACAAGGGGAGGTCTGCCCCTTTGTCCCACTTTCACCCACAGTACCTGAAGGGCACTGCTGCTCCCCTCACCCCTTCCTGCACTTGGAACTACACCATAGCAACCCCCGTGGGGTCTGCCTTGGAGCGAGGCCTTGATGTGTATGAGGTGACCCCAGTGCTGGCAATGCAGCACACAGTGCGAGCGGAAGGTGAAACTGCCAGCAGCTTCTGCCCCATTACCCTCTGGCCGGGAGCCACTGGGGTTGGGCAGCTTCAGAGGGGCCTGGGGTTGCAGACAGGCCAGGGCGCGGCGAGGCCTTTCCACGGCGCACCGGGACAGCACAAGGGAAGGTTTTTTGCGCTATACTGAGGCACCGCTGCCATTCCATGCAGCACGAAGGGGGTGGGAGCTCCAGGGGTGCTGCAGCAGGCTGGGGGGGATGGGACATGGGCTCTGCCACGACTCCATGGCTAGTGCCCAGTACTTCCCTCCAGCCCCAGCCCTGTGAGGCTCTGGGCCCTTGGTCTCCCCCGTGGACCCCGGCACCCCCTTGGGGACACTCCAGCCCGGTTGAAGGCTCCCTGCAGCTCCTGCTCCCCACCAGTGTCAAGTCCCACAGGGGAGGACACCTGTCTCTTGCCCCCATTATGCTTCCCCACACCTAGGACAGGCTCCCGGCATGACCACACTGGCGCTCCCTGGGAAGAGAAATGTGAACTTCATGGAGCTCAACCTCCCCAGCAGCAAGACCCAAAGTGACCTCTGGCCTGTGGCAGCCAGTCATGGCCATTGGGTCCACATTTAGCCGCAGTTCATCTGCTCCTGGCGTTTTCTTCGCGAGGTGAACAGCTCTCCTCCAGATGGAGAGTCTACTCACAACTCTGAGAGGAAAGAATGTTGAGCAGCAGCATTAAATGCAAGCATGCTGTGATGGGTTGATGAAGGGAGAAGATTTGTGCTGCAGAACTTCCTAAAGAACATTCCTCCAAAGAGAAAGACACAGGTGACTAGCAAATGCCGACACAGGTAGAAAGACAAGTTACACCAAGCTAAACCAGAACACTGCTCAGGCCATCAGCTGAGGGTTTCCGGCACTGACCAATGACCTGAGACCGGGACAAAGCACTGCAGTGTGCCAAATATGCCCAGAAATTGAAGTTGTTTGGCCAAGACCATAGTATGGCCTTCAGCATAAATGGAGGTGAACACAGAGCACTGTTTCCTCCTCAGCCTGCAGCCCACCTTCCTTCTTCTGCCTGTCCCAGTCCTCAATCTCAACCTCGTACTAGTGTCCCCAGCAACAGCATTGCAACACCTCATGCACTGTCCAGTATCTGCATACCACACCTCACACAAGAACTGGTGAGTTCCTGGGTTTGCTGCCATTTCAACCCAGATAATTGTGCTGCTGATCTGTGTTTATCATTCTACCATTAGTCTGAAACCACTGATTGACCCCTGGAGCTGTCCATGAGTGGGTTCTGTTCCTACAGGGTCTGCAGGGTGCTGGACTGGTCCTGCAGAACCCAGGGGGTAGAGGCGAATGAGAGGGGTGCCTGCCTAAGCTGGGTAGGGCCAGTTCCCAAGTGCTCTGGGGGGGATGGACTGGTTTTCCAGGTACAAGTAATGACTACTGGTTTGTGGTCCCCCTCTTAGGGGGTTTGGGGCAGGCAGCCCAGCTGTTCTGGTGGTTTGCACCTTCTCTATCCTCCCTTGAGTGAAAGGGTGCCTGCTGTTTGTAGCTGAGAGGCTGGTCCATATGGGTGGGAGTAGGACATTCCTCTCTGAAATGCTGGAACTCCCAGGGCAGTTTCTCCACAGGGAAGATGAAGGAGGAAGAGATATTGTCTTCATGCTCCTGGAGCTGATGAGCCACTTCATCCACCATGGTTGCCACTTTGTCTCTCCAGGCCATCACTGCCAATGAGCTGGGAAATGAGAGTGGTGGCTCCGTACGAAGTTCTTCCACGTGGGTCACGTGCACTGAGCTTCGTCTGGCTCTGTGAGTAACTGTGTGTTGTTCGTGTCATCATAAACCGTGTTGAGCATGGCCAGTTCCTTCAGGTACTGGATACCTCTCTCCATCGTGGTCCACTTGCCTGGGCAACATAACAACATCTCCCCCGTAGGAATACCTTTTCTTCACTCTTGGCAGGAGTTGCCTTCAGAGGATGAGGGCCTGTGTCCCTCTTCCAATTGCCTTATTAATGCCCCCTTCCCTAGAAAGCAATCCCAGCTGCTTGGCTTCCCTAGTTTCTAATTCCATGATACTAACCCAGTTATTCCAGCATTGGAGCAGCCAGGTGATAATGAACCCACCTGGATGACAGCTGAAATATTTTTACATATCCCACAGCTCACTCAGGAACAGGGATTGAGTGGTTACCTCTTGGTCTGTCTCTTCCTCCTGTTCCTGTGATAACCCTGCTTTGGACTCCTTGTCCTCCTTTCCTAAATGAGCTGACATGCATGCCCATTTCTCCTTGTGTCTGGAGGTGACTTGTCCCAGCATTGGCTGGGGCTCTGGTTCAGCTGCAGGGTCTGTTGCATGGGCTGGAGCAGCCACAGGGCTTATCCAAGCTCATCCCCAGCATAGGCAGCAGGGCAGGGAGGGGATTCTGACCCTCTGCTCTGGGGAGACCTTACTGCAGCTTTCCAGTACTTAAAGGGGCTTATAAGGAAGATGGGGACAAACTTTTTAGCAGGTCCTGTCGTGATAGGATGAAAGGTGATGGTTTTAAACTGAAAGAAGGGAGATTCAGACTAGATACAAGGAAGAAATTTTTTACACTGAGAGTGGAGAAACATACAGGTTGCCCAGAGACACTGTGGCTGCCCCCATCCTTAGAAGTATTCAAGGCCAGGTTGGATGGGGCTTGGAGCAACCTGTTCCAGTGGAAGGTGTCTCAGCATCCTGGGACAGTCTCATCCCAGCACTTTGCGCAGCTGCTTCTCTGCCCCAGGGACAGCAGTGCCGTCTGGGCCATTGTGGGGGCTCGCTCATTCCCCTGACACCAAATCCTACTGTATCAGGAGTGGAGACCCACCAGCATCTGCCTGGAAGATGAAGCTCTTGGGCAGCCCTGCCCAGGACTTGCTGCCTGCAAATTCACTTGGATAAGGAAAATTCTCATGCTTCCAGAATTCGCAGACGAAAGGGAGGTTTTGGCTCTGTGTCTGTGTGTGTCATTATCAGGGAGATGCTGTGCCTGCTGGAAAGGAGCTGCATTTTTCTAGGCCACCTGCCTGTGTCCCTTGGGGAGGGCAAACGAAGACAGTGTGTTTGCCCACAGTGAGAGCAGGACAAGAGTCACTGTTCTAGTGACTCAAACTGCTCCAGAGGTAGCAGAGTTTTTCTCCATCGCAGATCAGCTGAGCCAGCGCCATCTTCAGGAGTTGTAGGAGAGCCGAGGAGTTGCGGGATGGCCTCTCTCTGGGCACATCCAGCACCAGCAGGGACTTGTGCTCTCTAGGTGTCATTGCCAAAGGGACAAACCAACTCAGATCCTTTAACTTAACAGCCCCCTATTCCCCTCCAGTACCTAGGGGATCCCTAGGTCCCCAAAGTAGCAGTGGGATCCCCAGCCCTCCAATGGCATCAGTGTGTCCCCCTGCTTCAATTCCCAAGGGATCCCCAGACCCCAGTGGCATCAGTGGCCTCCCTGGCTGTGCTGCAGTACCCTAGGGACCCCCAGCCCCCCAAGAGTGGCAGTGGGACCCTTACCCCACTGAGGCATTCCCCTGGCATCCACAGCCCCACTGCAGGCAGTGGTGGGGACATGGGGACACTTCTGGACCTGGCCCTGGGTTGTCTCAGCACCTTGTCCCTGTGAGGCACAGCACTCCCTCAGCCCATCTGCTGGGCGAGCTGCAGCAGCAGGTTTGGGTCCATGGCCACCCCACCATCACCCTGGGGAGGGACCCCCAGCTCCACACGCAGCCTGATGGGACAGGCCTCCATGACCTCTGTGGTGCGCAGGTCCTGCCCCCTAAGAGTGGGAGGGTGCCTCGGGGGGTGACAGGCATCCAATTCCCCTCCTCTCCCAGACCTGGGGGGGTGATGGAGTGCTTCAGGCCCTCACTGCTGGGCAGCTCCCCTGGCTTGGGCTTCCCACCCCGGCACTGTCACTAGTGTTCCACGCCCCGCTCTCTACTTCCACTCCATCCTCATCCCCTTCCCCTATGTCCCCCACATCCCTGGCCTCCCCCTCCCCATGTGCCCCATCACCCCCATGTCCCCTTTGTCCCCAGCCACCCCTTCCCCATTCCTCCCACTCTCCCCATGTACCCCGTCTTCCCCCATCCTCCCCATCCCCCTGTGTCCCGGCTCCGTCCCGCCCCCGTTCCCGATTCTGCCCCCCGGGGAGGGGGGGGCTGCAGTTCCCACTCTGAACCTCCGGGTGGCGCCGGAGCTCCGCCGCCGCTGTAGCTGTTTAGGGGCTCTGGGGGGGAGCCATCAGGACCCATCAGGCTTCGTGGACTGACAGGGATCCAGCTGGAGCAGATTCCGCACAAGTTCAGGGTCGACTGGGAGCTGATCATTCTCACAGCTCAGGGCACTGGGACCCTCTTAGTCTGCCATCCGTGTTGAAGACAGAGGCAAAGAAAAAATTAAACATCCCTGTCTTGCCTCTGTCCCTGTTTGTGAGGTGACCAGATTCATCCTGGAACAGGAATATGTAATTTCTGTGCTTGCTTTTGCTATTGATGTATTTAAAAAAGCCCTTTTTGTCATCCTGCACAGTATTGGCAACTTCAGCTCCAGCTGAGCTTTGGCCACACGAATTTTCTCCCCACAGCGGTGAGCAGTTTCTCTATTGTCATCCCACATCACCTGACCTCGCTCCCCTTGGGCATACAGCTTCCTTTCTTTGCCTTTGCTCCAGAAGTCGTGATGGGTCTGCCTTCTTCCAGAAGATCCCTGCTCAGGAGGTCCTGCTCAGCCAAGATTTCTGCTGCACCTGCTTGACTTCTGACATTTGGGAATTGCTGCTCCTGTGTCCTTAGAAGGTGGTGACTAAAAAGTGGCCAGCACTGATGCACCCCAGCACCCTCAGAAACATTTTCCCAGTTCCCTGAGCAGCCTGAAGTCTGCTCTCCTCATATCCAGGGTTGAAATTTTGTGGCACTTTTCCTGGTGTCACCATAGATTTTAAACTTGGTGGCTTCATGATTGCTGTGGCCACGATGGCTTCTAAGTGCCACTTCACCCATGAGACCCTCTCTGGTAACAAGGAACAAATCCTGGAGGGCACCTCTGCAAGTCAGCTCCGTGAGTACCTGTACAACAAGGTCATTGTCCAGGGACTTTAGGAATCCTCTGGACCTATTTGTGCCAGCTGTGTGGTGTTCCCAGTTAACATCTGGAAAGGTGAAGTCTCCCATAAGGACAAAGGCAGTTGATTTGGAGGTGTCATTCAATGGTCTCATCATTGGGTGGTCTGTAGTAGACTCCCACAGTGACACCTGCATTATTTGTTTGTCTCTTAATCCTTACCCAGGACATCCCAACCCCTCTAATCCATACACCACCTCCCCCTACTCAACTGCCCTGCCTTCCCCTCCCAGAGGAACTTGGGCAAGAAAACTGTTGCAAGAGGGGAAAAAGACTTTGCAGCCCCAAACTCCTCCAGTCAGCTCTCTGAGCAGCTTTGCATCTCCTGGAGACAGGTCAGTGCCTGATATCTCCCTGAGACTCCTAGCCATCTCTGCAGGAAGTCTTTTGTCCTTTCTCAGAAGGAAACAAAAAGGCTGAAAGAGAGAAATAAACAGAGAAAGGTTTGGGTTTGAAGGGACTTTCGAAGATCGTCTGGTCTACCCTTCCACCTGCCACCAGGCAGTACACCTTCCACCATCCCAGGTTGCTCCAAACCCTGTCCAACCTGGCCTTGAGCACTTTCAGGAATGTGGCAGCCACAGCTTCTTTGGGCAACCAGTGCCAGGGCCTCACCACCCTCACCATAAAACATTTCTTCCTTATGTCCAATCTTACCCTGCTCTCTGGCAGTGTACAGCCCTCACCCATGGTCTTGGCACTGCAGACCGTGGTAAAAAGTCTCTCTGTGCCTTTCCCATAAGCCCCTTTGTACACTGAAAGGTCACAACAAGGTCTCTCAGAGCCTTCTCTACTCCGGACTGGACACCTCTAGCTTTCTTTGGGCTCCTGCACAGGAGAGAGGCTCCAGCCCTGGGATCATTTTCAAGGCCTCCTCTGGACCTGCTCTGACAGGTCCAGGTCTTATTTGCACTGGGGCCCCTAGAGCTGGATGTGGGCTCCAGGTGGGATCTCCAGAGAATGGAATAGAGAGGGAGAATCCCTTCCCATCTAAAACTCAGCACCATATGGGCCACCAGGAAGAAAATTCAGTCCCTCCCTGACTAAACCAGAACATGGTTAGCAGCAGCTATGTGCTTAGTTCTGACCTTGCATTGTGTGGTGGATTTGGTGGGCACACACCAGAGGTTCTGAGGCTGGTCCCCAGTCCCCTCCCAGGTTATTGTTTGGCTCTGTCATGATATATGGCTTGTATGTGTGTGCTCTTTAGGATAAACCCTTTGCTCCCAAGAGCACACAACCACGGCTCCCCTGACCTACCTCTCTACTGCATCAGCATCTCCTTTTTTCACGTCATGACATCTACTGCAATTCCTTTCCCCTCCCACCTCTGTGACAGCCACTTCCTCTGGACACTCCCTGTATCACAATATCCCTGTAACCTGTTCCCTGGAATATCAACCCTCTGCTGCAACACTATTAAAAAGCCACCAACAGTAAAATTTTGAGCCCAAAGCTCAATTTCAAAGGCCAAAACATTATTTTTGATTATTTTTCAGATCCAACCCCGAGCTGGATCACAAACCCTTGTTTATACATGTCCTAGTTAGAACAGCTGGGACCAATTCATCACTGGATGGGTGTAACCCAAACCTATGTATTCTATAGCCTTCCATGCCATTTCCCAGAAACTGTTATCAACAGAGCATTTACACCCTCTGCCCAGAGCAGCCTGACTCCTCAGGCTATAAACTAGGTGTTAAGAGGCCAGCGAGATAGGAGGATGTTCCTGTCCTCACACCCTTTCATGGAATTCCCTGCTCTGAGGGAAGGACTGAGCATTCCTGCCTGAACTGGAGAATATATAAACTTGGAGTTTTGGAACCACTCGTGGGATCCAGAGGAAGACTGCAGCTCATTGCTCTCAACCACTGCAATCACCACTTTTGACCAGACTGCAACAGCTCTCCCATCAGCAGGTTTTTCCCCTCTCCCTTTACTTTGGACTCAGGGGGGGCCCAAGGAACACCACTTTGTTCATGCCCCAGGATGCTGGGTTATACATTTGGGGTTTGTGGGTTAAGACCAATTGTTCGTCTGTATAATCGTACTTATTGTATTATTTTATTAAATTGTTATTCTGACTTATAATCTCTCTTTTGAGTTGAGTTCATTTCCCCTCCTGGTTAACTTTTAAACCAACACAATACAATGCAGTCTCAAAGTAGGGAGAGCAGCAACACTTTTAACTCCCTCTTAACTCTACATCCCTGAGGTGTTGTTGCCATCACTGCTGGGCTCAGCCTTGGCCAGTGGTGGGTCTCTCCACAGGAATGATGGTGGACCTGGGACGAGACTGGAGATGAGGGACAGGAGGGTTCATGTCCCTAGGGGTGTTGGGGACCTGGGGTGGGAACAGGACCCCGTAACAGGGCTGGCATTGATGTCTCCAGAGGGGGCTGCAGCTGGTGCCCAGGGATGGGGGCTACTGTGTCTGGGAACAATGGGACCAGGGGTGGGAATGGGCTCCTCTGATGTCACTGGGTCTGGGACTGATGTCTCCAGAGGGGGCTGCAGCTGGTGCCCAGGGATGGGGGGCTGCTGTGTCTGGGGACAATGGGGCTGGGGTTGGGAATGGGCCCCTCTGATGTCACTGGGTCTGGGACTGATGTCTCCAGAGGGGGCTGCAGCTGGTGCCCAGGGATGGGGGGCTGCTGTGTCTGGGGACAATGGGACCAGGGGTGGGAATGGGCCCCTCTGATGTCACTGGGTCTGGGACTGATGTCCCCAAAGGGAATCAGGAACTCGGAATGGGGAGCTGAGGGGGGGGCTGACAGCCCTGGGGGTGTTTGGGACCTGGGATGGGGCTGGGATTGATGTCCTCAGAGGTGTTTGGGACAGGGATGAGGCTGATGGCCCTGGAGGCTATGGGGACCCCCATGGTACCTGGGATGGGATCCCATGGTGGGACTGGGGGTGGAACTCATGTTCTCAGACCATGCTGGGTCTGGAGGGGATGTCCCTGGGGATGCCAGGTTTGGGGATAGCTTTATGACTCCACAGTGGGCCTGGGTTTGTGTCCCTGGGGGGGGCAAGGGTGGAGACTGAGGGGTGCTGGGGGTGGGCCCCATCCTGGGTTTGCTACCGGTACAACCCAGTCGATTGTGTTGCTGATCTTTATTTAAACGCTCCTGCAAATATTCTGCTGGCTTCTGCCCGGCTGTTGGGGCGCTCAGAGCCGGCTCTCGAAGCTGCGAGGCGCCTGCGGAGAGAGGAAGCTGCTGAGGCCCCGCCACGGCCGGGGGTGCAGGGTGGGTGTGAGGGTGCGGAGCAGCACTGGGTGCCCCGAGGGGTGTGGGCACCCGGCTGCACAGGGGAGCTGTGGGCACAGAGAGCTCTGGGCAGAAAACGGGGCACCAGCTCACAGCACAAATCTCTGCTGAGTTTGGGCAGTGGCAAACTGGGCACCCAGAGCACCTTAGCTCAGAAAACCCCATGGCTGCTCTGGCTGATAGCAGCCATCCAATACCAGTTTGGTAACTCCCCGCAGGCCCACCAACTCACTTTCTCCTCTTCCTCCACAAGTGGAATACACAATACAATGCCATCCCCAGCAGAATTGAGCCCAGGACAGCCACGATGCCTTCTATGCAGTACGTCTGGAAGGTATCAGCACCCACAGAGTTTGGGTCTGCCCTGCCCACCACAGCGTTTGGATCTGTCCTGCCATCCACAGTGTTTGGGTCTGTCCCGCCATCAACAGCATTTGGATCTGCCCTGCCCACCACAGCAATTGGGTCTGTCCTGCCATCCACAAGGTTTGGGTCTGCCCTGCCCACCACAGTGCTGGTGAATCTTCTGCCATCCACGGCGCTGTTGAGGCTGAGGCTGTTCACACCTGGAGGAACAATTGTGCACATCAATGTGCCCTGACATTGCCAGAAAATGTTCTTTCCCACTTTGTTGGCGTGTCTGAATGAGGGAATATCCTGGGTGGCAACATTTCTGTGGCTTCAGTAGAAGCCAAGGAAACTCCCAAAGGCCTTGCAAGTCCATGCTCTCCAGAGCCTCTCTCTCTCCTCTCAGCTTTGCTTGCGCTCTGGAGTGGCCGCAGTCCAGTTCTCCCAGTGTCTGGCTTTGCTCCCCATTCCTGAGGATCCTTCACATTTGTCCACAATTGTTCTTGCACTCTGGCCAGGGATGGTCTGACTGGGGCAGCCGTAGTCCCTGGGACTCAGTTGGAGCCACAACTGGCAGCAGAGATTCTGGACCATCCTTGCAGCTTGCCAACACCTTCAGGGTCCCTGCAGTGAGGCTCTGAGGTGTGGGCTGGGGAGGCTATGGCATGTCCCTACATTTATCCAAAACCTCTGCTGCCCCACTGTGCCGGTTAGGAGTGACCTGTACCCACCTCGTGCTATCGTCTTCAGCTGTCCAAGGATTTCATGTAGCACTTTGGATGTGTCCTGGGAAGATTGTCCCTTTCCGTCTTGATACTCTGGACCTTAATGGAAAGAATAAAGTTACATTTCTGCCCCAGCAAACCCTGGAAGCAGCACTCAGGCTGTGCAGTCAGTTAGGACTGACTCGTGACCCCCTCCAGTGCAGGGTCCAGCCAAGAAGCAGGAAAAGCCCTTCCTGTGCCCACAGCTGCAACCAGACCCCCCATGAGGAGCTCCTGTCACACCTTGGGGTACCCTCTGTCCTGACTGAATAGCAGAACAGGGGAGGGGATCATGGAATGACATATTACACCCAGGCTTTGCTCCCCATTCCTGTGGATCCTTCACATCTGTCCACAATTTCTCTTGCAGGCGCTCACCTTCCCTTTCCAGGCTTGGTGGGTGCTGCCTTGTTGGACACTCTCTCTGACCGTGGGGGACACATTGTCCCCCAGACAGGACCCAGGGGGCCAGATGGAGAGCACGGAGGGACCAATTGTCCCTTGGAGTGAGATGGACAAAACCCATCCCCTTGGAATGAGGTGGACAAAACTCATCCCTGTGTCAGGGAGGGCCACCCCCAGCTCTTCCTCTACAGCCCAGCACCCACACTCTGAGGGGACACACTCAGGCCCTCAGGAGACACCCAAACCTCGCTCTCCCTCACTGCCCTTTCTCCAGCATGGGCAGCGCTTGCCTGCTCCCACTTTTCAGGTCTTGTCTCCCATGTATGGCCCCTGGCAGGACTGCCCAGTGCCTGGATAATTTGGAAAACATTCCTCTAGCCCAGAGTGGGGGCCTTCCCCAGGACTGGCCANCAAAGTGTTTTGCCCATGCTTGGAGGCAGGTCCTTTCCTGGAGGCTCCCTGGGACTTTGTCCAGGCATCTCCAAGAGTGTTGTGGTTTCATCTGGCAGCAACTGAAGCCGTGAGCAGTAGCCGCAGATGCCCCTAGGTAGGTCATGTACCTGTTGTGTCCGTGTTAGAGGCCAGTCCATGTCTGGCAGCCTCCCAGGATTCCTCCTGGGCACCACCAAGAGTGTATTCACTTCCTCTGGAGGTGGCTGAAGGCTTGGGCAGGAGACCAAGACTCCTCCTGGGTGTTTTGTTGAAGAGTTTGGTTCCTGCTCAAGGCTCCAGCAGTGGTGGCAGGAGCAACAGCAGTGATGTGGATGTGGGTGCAGGTTTGATGTGGAGGGGCTGCAGGTTTGATGTGGGTGGAGACACTGTGGCGCTGTCAGAACCCTGGCAGAGGAAGGAACTCAGTGGTACTTTGTGGCTGATCAGCTGCACAGCAGCGGAAAACCAAGGCAGAGACAGGAACATGTCCTGCTCTTGAATCAGCAACCCTGGCAAAATCCCTGTCCTGGCACTGCCCGTGTCCCATCTCAGGGTTATCTCAGGTACTATCCTGAGGTACTGTAATGGTTGATAAAGGCGAGGATAAATAATTTGGTGATAAAATTGAGTTTGTAATAATAAAGTTTGCAATGATGTGGTTAACACTTTACTTAGGTTGCAAAATGTTAAGTTGCAAAATGTCAAACCGCTGTGTTGTGTTGCCATGGTAAGATGTATCCTGTTATGCTAGCTGTAATGCTTTAAGTGCACTTATAAGGAAGAAAAAGCATGAAGCAAAAAGGGGGGAGGTCGACTAAAGGGTCCAGAAAGAGGATCTACTGCCTTCATCCGGGGATTGGACACGGCGGGAATTGAGGACTGCTGACTAACCCGACTGTTGGCTGGCCCCTGGCAACAGACTGAGGTCCAGGCAGCGAGAACCAGTGATGAAGCACAAAGAGACTAAGGGGGCGGGGATTGCAACAAGTATAAAAGAAGTGGGCTTTGGCTTTTTGAACTTGCGGACCCTTGCGGAGCAAGAGTCTCCCCGGCCTCCCAGCGCTGTTTTGCTCATTTGCCTTCAATAAATTTTGGGATTTCAAATTTTAAAATTATTTGTGGTCTCTTTGACTATAACAGTACCCCCACATGAGCTCCCTTGGTTAGAACATGGTGCTAATAATGCCAAAGTTGCAGGTTCAATCCCTTAGGGACATGAACCATCCTGTCCCTCATGCCCAGTCTCATCCCAGGTCCACCATCACCTACGTGGAGAGACCCACCACTGACCAAGGCTGAGCCCAGCAGTGATGGCAGCAACACCTCAGGGATGCAGAGTTACGAGGGAGGAAAAACTTATTGGGCAGAAGGAATTGGGGCAGAGAAGAGAGGAGTTGGAATGTATGAGGGAAACAACCTGGCAGCCCCAGGCCACTGCAGGAGGGTATCCAGGCACCGGAGCCCAGATTCCCTGGCCTGTGGGGGCCCAAGGGGGAGCACAGACCCACCTACAGCCCTTGGAAGAGCCCCCACCAGAGAAAGGGGATGCTGCAGGAGGCTGTGACCCCATGGGAAGCCTGTGCTGGAGCAGGGTCCTGGCAGGGATTTGTGTCCCATGGAGGGAGGAGCCCATGCTGGGGCAGGTTTGCTGGCATGACCTGTGACCCCGTGGGGATCCAGGTTGGAGCAGTTCCTGAGGGACTGACCCCATGGGAAGAACTCATGGTGGAGCAGGGATTGTGTCCTATGGGAAGGACTCACGCTGGATCAGGACAAGGACTCCTCTCCTCAAGGGAGAACCATGGAATGAACTGACTGTGACCCACATTCCCGTCTCCCTGTGCCCATGGAGGGGAGCAGGGAGAGAATTGGGATTGAAGTTGAGCATGGGAAGGAGAGTCACTGCTGAGCTCAGCCTTGGCCAGTGGTGGGTCTCTCCACGGGGGTGATGGTGGACCTGGGATGAGACTGGAGATGAGGGACAGGAGGGTTCATGTCCCTAGGGGTGTTGGGGACCTGGGGTGGGAACAGGACCCCGTAACAGGGCTGGCATTGGTGTCTCCAGAGGGGGCTGCAGCTGGTGCCCAGGGATGGGGGGCTGCTGTGTCTGGGAACAATGGGACCAGGGGTGGGAATGGGCTCCTCTGATGTCACTGGGTCTGGGACTGATGTCCCCAAAGGGAATCAGGAACTCGGAATGGGGAGCTGAGGGGGGGGCTGACAACCCTGGGGGTGTTTGGGACCTGGGATGGGGCTGGGATTGATGTCCTCAGAGGTGTTTGGGACAGGGATGAGGCTGATGGCCCTGGAGGCTATGGGGACCCCCATGGTACCTGGGATGGGATCCCATGGTGGGACTGGGGGTGGAACTCATGTTCTCAGACCATGCTGGGTCTGGAGGGGATGTCCCTGGGGATGCCAGGTTTGGGGATGGCTTTATGACTCCGCAGTGGGCCTGGGTTTGTGTACCTGGGGGGGGCAAGGGTGGAGACTGAG